AAATAAATTGATTTCCTGTTTATACATGTGTATTTTTTCCTTTTTTTAATTCAGTTACTTTTTTTAGAATAATCAGATTGTTATGTGTTTGTTCAATGTAGAAATACAATTGAAAAACTATTGGAAGTTGTTATGTTTTATCAATTTGTTAAAAAATGTGTAAATATAAATATCTTTAATTTTATAGAGCTATAAGCCATTTTTTTAATTTCACAATTCCTAATGATTAGTATTTTACCTATGTGAACAAGTCTATACAAATATTTAACACAGGGTGTCTGCAAGATCTGGAAATTCAAAATTCTGCAAAAAAAATAATTAGAGAAATCAGGTGAAATTTTGGAAAAATTAGAAAGAAATCAGGGAAAATGGTTCTTTATCAAACCTACCTAATTTAAGTAAGTTTTATATTGTACATGTATAAAATTTCATTCAGCAAATAGTTTTATAAATTATTATAAATATTATAAATTATTTACATTTTTGCTATTAAAGAGATTTTTCCATAAGAATTCAAGTCTGGTTATTCTGAAGTTGAATTTTAGTAACTTTAAATTAAATCAGGAAAAACAGGTAGTGGATCAGGGAAATGTAAAGGAAATTAAACTTCAACTTATTTAAATTATTAAAAATTATATTAAATTTTAGATTTACTTTTAAAAGTAAATTTTATTGCAGCAATATCTCCTTAATTTTGATTTATAGCATTTTTATGACGTTTTATTATGTTTAACAATAAGTCTTTTGTTTATTAAACAGATGATAGTGTAGCATGCCAAAGTGCCTCGTGTGAGTTCAGACCCTATCTTTTTTTTATAACACTTTTTTTAAAATTAAAAAACACCATTAAAAATTATGGGTCATGGTAAATCTATTATTCAATGTCATCTCATGTTTTTTGAACCTCGCTTGAAATTTGAATTAATTCAAATTTCAAGCAAGTATTTTAAACATTATTTAGACTGGTACTAATATCCAAACTTTTGATAAATAGCAACTTTTATGTTTAAAGTTTTTTAAAGGTCCATGTGGAATAAATTTACTAAGACCCATATTTTATGGATTATCATAAGAGAGGATGTTAAGAGGAGAAGAAGAGGTGACTCCAAAGTTGTAAATTAATTTAGATTTTAAATAAAAAACATTTTAAAGAAATTTACAACTTTTGAGCCACTTTTGAGTTTTTAACTTTGTAAATTTTGGTTGTAATATTTTTCTAAATTTTTTTTTCATTAATTTTTGTGTTATTTTTCAATTTTTCCCATTAATTTAAATGCTATCGAGTTAAATCATTTAAATAAGACACTTTTATTAACAATACTCAATGACAAGAAATAAAAGTCAGAATCAAATATTTGATAAGTTTTTCACACAACCAAACTCTGTGTAGGTTGTTTCAGAATGATAATTTGTTTTAAAACTATAATAAACATGCATTAAAAGGTATGTAATTGAATGAATATTACACAAATAATATTTCTTTTTTAAAATGTGATATTTGTTTTTAAGTATTACTATGTCCCATAATGTGGTAATTTATTATATGTGTTAATAATGTGGTAATTATTTATATTTGTTAATTTTAATATGTGTTATATAAAGTTAAAGATTTATATTTTGTATATGTTTATGTATGTGTTTCTATGTGTGTGCTTTTAGTAGATAAAATATGTACAATAAACTAAGGATAACTTGATAATCCTCAATAATTTAAACTAATTTTAAAATTACAATTGAGCCTATATTTATGAATTATACTCCAAATAACTCTAATATTGTCTAAAAAAACTAATTTCTTGGTCCATTGGGGGTGTGATTCATTTAGAGTTTACTGTAACATCTTATGCTATTTAATAATTGTTGCGATATTTTGTGCTAATAGACTTGGCTCACCTTCATGTTGGTGTCTTTTGTTAAAAAATGAGAAAAATGAAAAGTAAGTTTTTTATTTCCTATCTACTTATTCACATTTTTGAGTTGCAAGTGCATAACACGATAACTTGTAATTAATGTGTAAAAAGTGTTATATTAATAATTTTGTTCCATTTTTAGGTCGAATTCCTTCTCTTATGACTGATTTTTGAAATTTTTCTATATAGAATAACTTAAGAAATGTTGATCATTTTCTAAATGCTAAAACAAAGTTTCGTTAACCTTCATAATATTTACAAAAATCTATAGAATAATGATACTATGTTATTGTTTTAATTGCTTTTAAAAGTATTTTTTTATGTTAAATATATTTTTTGTAATTTTTTTACTAAAAAAACTTTTTATTTTATCTCAATAAAAAATTTTTTTGTTTCTAACAAAAATTTTATATTTTTTGTTTCTCACGTAAATTTAAATTTTTTCTCTTTGAAATATTTTTAGTATGGATGCATGGCCATTTTCGCTTTTTATATTTTTATAGTTTTTATATTTTTCCATTTTACATTGATCTAAGAAGATGACTCGTATTGTACAGGTCATGACAGCTAATATATAATGAATGGGTAAAAATTGAATCTTAAAAAAAATAAATAGAAAATCACAATATCCATCCCACCACCAATGTAATGATTACTCTACTCAATCCGTTATCTATCCCATAATTACAACATCCAATCTATGAATTTTAACCACTGTATCTACTACCCTCAACTATTCAACCCTCTTTCTACAAATAGGTAGGTGATAATATGTAAACAATTTGTTAAAAAATAAGCACAGGGGAAGCATAATATTTAGTTTTACTCAGCATTTTAGGCAAGAACTATTTGCATTGGAAAATCATTGCATTGGGAAAAAGTGCTAAAAAAATTTATTCATGTGTTATAAAGTTTCATATGCATTATTCTTATTCTAATATATTCTATTAACTAAATATTGTTAAAAATTGTTTTTATTTGTAGCTTGTGTTATTTATTTAAAACATGAGTGTTTAAAAAAATAAAAATACTTACAAAAAAAATTATATAGCATGTATCATGAAATACATGTTTTGACTTTTAAGATCCTTTCATGCCTAAGGTCGAACTACGCTCAACTTGTTTTCCATGCAGCGGCCTTGTTTTTCAAGGTTTGTGTTTCAGAGTTAAAGAGTTGAAGGAGGGTTGTAACCACAAAAAGTAGACTATGACTGTAGTAGCTCTTTCAGCATTGGGAAAGTAAATAACATTACTAAACCATTACCGCATTGTCTATATCAATATATATATATATATATATATATATATATATATATATATATATATATATATATATATATATATATATATATATATATATATATATATATATATATATATAGGGGTTAAATTAGAAAAGTAAATCAAGCGGTGTTAAAAAGTTCCAATTGTTTGTCCAAAGGGATGCAAATTGCCCATTCAGTGATGCAGAATCATTCCTTCAAATATTTGCTGTAGGTATTTCTGTAAGATTTTGTAAACACTTTTGCTGTATTTCGAGATCTCGCGTGATGACTAAAACTATTTAATAATAGTCAAAGATTTTATCAAAAATTAAAATAGCTCTTTAACTTGCATAAAAATCAGCCCACAAAGTGAAAATGATCTACATCTTTAAAGAGATAATTTAGCCAATTTATGGACAATCCCATTGTAAAACAAAAAAAAGTCAAAAACAAGACGGAATTGTTGCAAAAAAATATTGAGCGTTGCAGAAAGATTTATTGATTTGTTAGCTAAAGAGGAACAGCATTCCTTCATATCCTGTCTCTTCAGAGATTCCTCAACATTCTATGCTGGGTCCTACACCTTTTTTAATTTATATTAACAATCTCCCAGAAATTCTCACACCTTAATTGGCATTGTTTGTTGATGATACTACCATTTCTTTTTATTTTGATAAGAAGCCAACACTCTCTGAGCACTTGGAGAAGGCATTTAAGCTTGAAAAGAACTTGAAAGGTTTGCTCTATAAACTTCATCTTTTCTTTTCCAGTAACTTACAACTCTAATAGTGGTTGCTTGTAGCCTTGTTTGAATTGAAGATGTTTATATATATATATATATATATATATATATATATATATATATATATATATATATATATATATATATATATATATATATATATATATATATATATATATATATATATATATATATATATATACATATATATATATATATATATATATATATATATATACATATATATATATATATATAAATATATATATTTATATATATACTAAAATTATTCATGTATATATATATATATATAAATGTATATATATATATATATATATATATATATATATATATATATATATATATATATGTATATATGTATATATGTATATATGTATATATGTATATATATATATATATATATATATATATATATATATATATATATATATATATATGTATATATATATATATATATATATATATATGTATAAATATATATATATATATATATATATATATATATATATATATTTATATATATACGAAAATTATTCATATATATATATATATATATATATATATATATATATATATATATATATATATATATATACTAAAATTATTCATATATATATATATATATATATATATATATATATATATATATATATATATATATATATATATATATATATATATATATATATATATATATATATATATATAAACTAAAATTAATCATTAGGAAATATCAGGGATTAGAGCCCAGATCAAAATTTGGAGTTCTAAATCCCCGGGGTTCTGGAATCCAAACATTAGGGATTCTGGAGAAGTTCTGGAACCCCGAGAACCCCTTGCATAACAGGGTAAAGAAAACTTTAAGCTTTAGAACTCCCTAAACTGAGTTTACGATTAATAAGGGTTCAGAACCCCAATTGATTCCAGAGTACCAAACACATTTAGGTCATCAAGTTTTTTAAAATTTTTCCATTCCAAGTAGATTACTTTTGGCAATATTAGGCAATTTAGTAATAATTAAATAATAATTTACTAATTACTTTTAGTGTTATTACTTGTTACCTGCACAGTATCTCATAGGACAACTGGGTAGTGCTTGTAAGTAGTAAACAAAGTAATCTTTATTATTTTGAAAACATTTCATTACTTTAACATTGGTCGTATTAGCACAGAAATTTTCATCAACTACCACACAAGCATTTAGCGATTTTATCTCGCCAACCACAGATGGTTCAATGCCATTTAGCCAAACAGGATACCTAACACCTAAAAAAATTAACTAAGCAATGAAATGCATTAAAACAAAAGAACAGCATAAAAAATAAATTCACTTATCTTTTGATATAGCAATCAGTACTATTTTTTGATATAACTTATTTAATTATTTAACAGTTTTTGAGTATGAGGCAGTAAACTGAGATTACCAGTTACTGCATTAATGTCAATAACTTTAAAAAAGCATTTTCAGAAACACTGAAGATATTGAAAACTGATTACAAGATACAAAGATCTTCATTACCTTGCAGTAAGTGGACTGATTCTCTAAAACAAAAAAATGTTACTAAAAATGTTTACCACAAGAATAAGGGGGTGGGTTTTTTGTTGGAATTTGACCACCAGCCCCACTTACAAAACGATACCAAGCTGTGCTAAATCCTTCTTTGTCACATGGAAGAAAAGTATTAGAAATAACTTTAAAAGCAGTACTTCTTTGAAAATCATCAATTTCTTTGTATACCAAACAAGGACCTATAAAATAAAAATCTATTTAAAAAGCTTAGTTACATACAAGTTTAACTTTTTATATTAAATTTTTTTTTTGATTTGCTTTTAAGTTGCTCTGAAATCAAATTTAAAAAAATCCCATAAGCAGTCATGTTGAATGAGGTGATAAAGAATAAGGAAAAATGTTTAAAGAAGTTATGATAAATAAGAATGCTATAAGAAAATCATTATAAAGTTGAGTCAAAAAAATGATGTAATTTTTATATTAATAAAGAAATATGTACTAATATTTACTCCATGCATTATTACTGCATCTTTTCACTTTTTTGCAATTTAAAATTGACTTGCAAAATGCTGTTGTTCAGTTTGGTTATGCGAGAAAGTGGTAAGGTGAGCTGTACAAGAGATGAAAAGTTTGTGTAAAAGTGGTTGTAAAAGCATTAAGAAAGATTGAATCGCAAGAAAAAGTAAATAAAAAAAAAAGAAGTTGTTTAGAAATAATAATAAAATGCTACAAACCTGTTGTGCTCAAAATTGTTTAAACAGCAACATAAAGGACAGTAATATATTTATTTAGTAACAGACAGTAGTAAATTTATAAATTTTTTACTTTTTCAACTTTTTAAATTTGAATTCTATACAACTTTTTTGCATAAATTAACTTTCAAACTGTTTAAAAGATGGTATAGATACTTTTATACAGAATTTATGTCATTTTTTATTATTTTGATATGCTCATAAACGTTCATGCATTATAGATATCATTATTCAACAATGCTTAAAACATTTTATATATGTGTATAAATATATACTACTGTGATCAAAAAGTAACGTGAAATTGTTTATAAAATGTAAATTCTTTATTTATTTTTCTAGATCAATTTCATCCCTTCAAAGTAATCTCCGTCCGATAAAACACACTTTTTCCAGTCCTTAAAATAGTCAGAAAAGTTTTTTTCATGTATAGCATTCAAGATCTTCTTCAATTCGGTTTTTATCTCATCAATTGTGTCAAAACAACGTCCCTGAATTGGTAATTTGAGATGGCTGAATAGCCAGAAGTCTGTCAGGGCCAAATCAGGTAAATACGGTGGTTGCGGAACAATATTAGTTGAGTTTTTGGCAAAAAGGTTGCAAAGAACCAATGCAGTATAATATGATGGATTAACGTGATGAAGGAATCAGGAGTTGTTCACCCACAATTCGGTCCGTTTGTGACAAATAGCTCTACGCAACTGACTCATAATGAATCAAATAATATTCTTTGTTGACAGTTTGGCCTGGCGGAAAGAATTCATAGTGCACCACACCTTGATAATTAAAGAAAACTGTTAACCTTGATTTTTGATCAACTTTGCCATGGTCTTTACAGTCTTGCTTCACCTTTTGCACAATATTTGCTGGATTGGTCGCTGGTTTTAAGGTTGTATGTATAAATCTAAGTCCTGTTTTTAGTAATAAAGCGTTTCAAGCAGGGCTGTGGAGTTGGAGTTGTGGAGTTGCAACATTTTTAGCAGAGTCGGAGTCGCTAAACAAAATCGCGACTCCGACTCCAATAGTAAAACTTCTCGGTATTGTACGTGCATGTACAAAACATTCAATTAACCTTATGTTCATACATAAACCTCAAAGAACGTTTCATAAACTTGTCAAAAAAGAAATTTTAACTTATCGCATAATATTTTTTTAAGAATTCAAAGAATTTTTCAAAATTTTTGTTTTGGAGTTGTAGATGGAGTCAGAGTTGGAGTTGTACTGAAAAAATTTCAACAACTGGAGTCGGAGTCGGAGTTGTACTCAAAAATTTTCAACAACTGGAGTCGGAGTCGTTACTTTTTTTTTACGATTCCACACCCCTGGTTTCAAGTGGTCCTGATAGTCTGACAACAAAGTTTCACACAAATCAATGCAACGCTTTTCATTCAAAAATTGAGTAATTTTGGCACTAATTGAACTTGACATGTTTGAGTCGAAAAACATTCTTCAAAATGGTTTTGGGCTGAGCTAAATGATATTCCAACACTATCAGCGAGACCTCTAATTGTCAATCGACAATTTTCAAGCACCAAATCTTTGATTTTTTTGGACAAGTCCCTCGTTGGTAGATGTTGATGGTCATCCAGAGCATGGTTTGTCTTCAATGCCTTCTCTGCCCTCTTTGAACTGATTGTACCACTTATAAAGGTTTTTTTGTGCCATAGTTTGATCACTAAAAGCCTTCTGCAACACTCATTCCGCAAACAATTTGATGCAAGTTCTTTGCTTAACAAAATCACCCATTGTAGAAATTGAAAAATTTACTTTTGATTGTTTACAATAACATATGTAACTCAGAAATAATTAAACTTTTTGACAAACAGACGCTTGGCAATTATTATAGGCAGTCCTACCAACCTAGGAAAAAAAATTACCTGCCTTCATAATGCCCAAGAGTTTTAAATAACAATTTTACCTTACTTTTTGATCACAGTAGTATATGCACCATGGATGCAATCGCATGTGTCATAGAAAACTGGCCTCTTGCTAAAGACAAAAAGAAAAACTTAATTGCAATTTTCTTTGACTTTGCTAAAGCCTTCGACGAGCTTCTTTTTACCAAGTTATCAATATACCTCTCTAAATTGTCTTTTTCCTAGATCGCATTGTACCTACAGACGAGATATTAGCGAATTTATACTAAAGGCATAGCAAGAGAATAGCGACCTATGGAAGCTGGATTCATTCAAGGCAGTGCACTCAGACCCATTCTCTTTATACTCTTCATACTTGGTATAAACAATATATTTGACTGCAATACTAAACTGTACAAATTTACTGATGACATCTTAGTATACATTTTTGGAGACCTAGCCCACTCAACCTTACCACAGGAAATTTGCGATAAAGTTAATAACTGGTACATCAAATACAAAATGTTATTAAACATAACAAAACCATGAGCATGCCTAGTAACAAACTTGACACACGCCCACCACCAATTGATTTCATTAACTTCAAAACTCACAAACATGTAACACCTTATAAATACCTGGGATTGGATATAAATAAAAAAATACAGCGACCAACAATGGCAGTGCATTAAACCAAAACTTTTCTCAGCTTAGTACCTAATTAGAAGTCTAAAACAATTGATCCATAGTGTGCCGTTCCCCAAAGAAGGTGATTTTTAAGTTATTGATTTTTTGAGGGATATAATTGGTTAGTTGGTATTTGACATATTTCAATCAAGTCAGGTCAGATTCAGGATCATTACTATCACCCTGCTACTGGTATCATGTAACACAGTACTACATGCCCCATGCCTTGCTACCTTATAGGGTTTGCTTTTTTAGGCAAAGGTTGGTAAAAAATTTTACTCCCACATAAAAATTCCCTGCTAATGAGGCTCTCGGTTAAGTAAAAACTAGAGATGGTATTTCAACAAAAATACTTAGGTGTTAATTGTATTTAGCTCTGGTAAAAGACCTCCCAGGCAAAGACTGAAGGGGTAAGATGAATAATTCTGATAACCAGCCTCAAACTTGTTCTTTATCTTTATATATTATTTATCTATATACATTTTTTCCTGCCAAGGATGATAAATGCAGAATTTTCTTGACTCTTTTTATAGATTTTCGCTAGTGCCTCCTTGATAGTGGTATTAAAACCTAACTATTTTAATATATTTTTTACAAATATTTATGGTCAGCTAAGAACTTCCATCAGTTGAATCTTATCTCTTGCAAAAATTACCAGAATTAATTGCTCTTAGTAGTTACTAATTTAAACTCTATTACTTCTTCTGATCTCGTTTTGATGGGTACAAACCTTTAATTTTCAAAGACTCTAATAGTCACATGATTGGCTTAGGGGTATAAATATGTATCAATTTACCTATTTTCCATGAAATCAGGTTTGAATCTTTTGACCATTCTGTTATATGCTTCCGCTTAGCATCTCTTCACTCTATCACCTTTCTCTTTATTGTTCTCCTTCTTCCCAAGACTTTACTCTTTTAGATGTACTTTCTAGTCAAATCAACCATGGCAAAACCTATAACTTTTACATTTCTCAATTTCTTACTCAGATAGTTAACTTTGTAACTCATTTTCTTGACAACTCGAATCATTTACCTCCACTCCTTGTTTTGTATCTTGTCTCTCCCCCTAGATTGTATTTAGTTTCTTCTTTATCTCTTTTAGGTTGTGCTGACCATGCAATGATCTCTATAAATCTTCCATCTGGTACTTTATCTTCTGACTCACCCTATCAATGTTCTACTTACTATTACACTAAGGATTATTTTTATGATTTCTTTTGTGACGATTCTTGGGCTGTTTTTTTTTCTCTCAGCTGATAAATATGCCTCATACGTATGTTTGTGGATTCTTTTTAAAAATATATTAAATTCTCATAACTTTGAACGAAATGACTCCTAAATAGTAATGCAAAAATTAATTATTACTGTTTCTTTGGAATTGAATCTTGTTTGTTATTTGTATTTTATAAATTAACAACAATGTATGATAAAATGAGAAAATTTTTTTTTTAAGAATAAATTTAACTATTTATCTTTAAAGCTGTATTTTGCAACTGAACAAGATTAATAGCTTTTGTTTCTTAAATTCTCAAATTTATATCATGGCTTTAACATGATCAGTCATGAAAAGGTTCCTCTTATTCCACCACGAAATTCAAAATTGAAATTCAAAACAAGAAAACATTACAAACATAAAAAATGTTTTGTTGAACTAGTTTTTTTCACAGGAAGATGATTTTCAATTTTTTTGAATAATTCGATATACTAATCATATTATTAAGGATAAAAAAGAAAATAAAAGCAATGAAGAACAGTAGTTTTTTTAGAATTTTTGTTAAGCATTCTATCCAGTTATTTCAGCACTTAGCATGTCATTTAATGAGCATAGCACATTAAATAACATGCTGATTACATGAAATCTCATTTCTTAACAAAAGAAGACAGAGTAAAAAAAAAAAAAAGATCAAGACAGTTCTTACTCAGATATTTTGTTTTACATTCAATAAGGCTCAAACTAGGTATTTTACTGTTTAACAAGTGAATTATTTCAATTTTTACTTCATGTTGAAATTATATGGTAATAATATTCCTTGATAATAACATTCCTTTTTTAGAACATCAAACGACATTATCTTTAAAGGTTATTTGATTGTACTGTGAAAAGCGTGACAGTTTAAATTTTAGAACTTTAAGTTGAATATCTGAAGCCTAATATATTCTATATAAATTACCCAGAGCAGCAGAAAATGATAGCATGTATTTGCAAATCAACCTTATATGTCTATGATTTAACTATTTTGTAAATTTCTTCAGCCATCTCCACCCATTGCTCTTGAAAGTTAAAAATCAGTTATCACCTCTTTCATACTTTTATTAAAATAACATAATCATTTATATTAAAAGAACATACAGTTTTCAATGTGAAACATTTTTAGGTTTACTTTATTTAGAGTGTCTTTTAGAATACTAAATGGTATGTGTGGCAAATTTGAATTTGTTTGAATAAGCTCACTTAAAACAGATTCTAGAGCTTACAGAGATAACATGTTTTGTTTTTTGGTTTCCTTTTTTTGTAAGCATTCATTTTGATTGTATTATAATAATAATTTAAAAAGCTTTAAATTTAAAATATACCATAACAAATACATTATATAGTTTGCAAAAAATCATAAACTGCAGCTAAATTTGGCAACATTGCATTAGTTCTACTGGATAAAGTTTTTCATTCTTACAAAAAATAAAATGCAGCAATCTTTTCAATTAAAATGTCTAAGAATGAAAGCTTAAAATAAGAAAACAAGGCAAAATATGTCGGAAAAGAAATGCAAGTAAACTAAGATTCACCAAGCCTGGGCTCTTTGTTAGATGAGTTTTCTTAGTTTATGTTTAGCTTTAAGTTAACAAAAGAAAGTTTAACAGCCTCATTCAAAATTTTGAAGAATATGCCAATAGCCTTATTATTGAAAATGATCAATAAATTTTTTCACAACTTTACATCAAAATGTGAAAGAAAATTTAATAACTGAACAAAAGAACTAAACTTTGATTAATTTAGTAATACAGTTATTTCTTTTGTAAGAGGAGAAAATTTAAAGAATTACATAACTACAATTTTAAAGATTTATAGGATTAATTAAGATTTAAATATTAATTAAGATTAATTTGTTTAAGTTTTAAATGTTTTAAATTATACAATAACTGATAATAAAAATAATAATATAAAGAAAATTTATAAAAAATTTTCAATATTGTAGCAGACATCACAAATCTCAAATTTATATTTTAAATAACTTTGTGGTTAAAATTAATTTTGTATAAATATTTGCTTTAGAGAGTCATAAGCATTTAACTGACAGTTTTATTTGAATTTTTTTAAATAAAACTGTCAATTTTTTTTATTTTTTTTTTTTTTTACAACCTTTTTTTTTTGTTAAAAGACATTAAAACAAGTTTCTCTCAATACTAATAACTTTTTTTTTAATTAAAATTGTTTTTGCTGGGTTACCCATATCAACATTATCAGCTATTTATATATTACAATAATTTTAAACCTTTACAGTTTTTATAAAATTGTTACTATTGATGTTAGCAGTTAAATTTTAAAATGGTGTCTGTGATTTGACAGATTAGCCAACATTAAGATTAATAATGCCATTTTGCGCAGAGTGCATATTATTTTGTATTTTTAAGGTTTCCTTAAGTTTATTTTTCAAACTAATAAAAGTCAGAAAATGCATATTTACATCTTTTAAGAGAGATAAACTTTTTAATTGAAAAAAAAATTACTTGAGCAAGGTGTAAAACTTGTTAATGAACTTTCTTCAGGTTCGCATTTCTTTTCACTACCTATAATATAAACCATAAAGTTTATAAAAGAATTATCACCTTGTAAAATGACTTGCAATTCTTTACCTGCACAATATCTCATTGAACAGCTTGGAAGTGGTTGCAAATAATATACAAAATACTCTTCGCTGTTTCGTAAACATTTTTTAACTTTGACATCAGTTTTATTAGCACATGTATCTTTATCAACTACAACACAAGCTTGAAGTGATTTAATTTCATCTATTACAGATGGTTCTGTACCGTTTAGCCAAACAGGATTTCTAACCCCTAGAAAAAATATAAAAAAAGTGTAAAAAAACAAATTAATACTTTTTTTTTTCTATTAAAAGTATATTCAAATTATACACCAAGCTTTAATACAACCCCCTGTTAGAGAAAATAAGAAAGATGATAAAACTTTTTGTTGTTTGTATTTAGTTAGTTATTTAGTTATAATAAGTTGGAATGCGAGCTTATCGACTCACATGAAGTAACCCATCAGAGGATAAGCAACTGTAGCAACTTTGTTGGAGTTTGTCCAGCTGATTCTTGAATGCGTTGACAGTTTCTGCATTCAACGTATTATCGGATAGCGAGTTTCAACAATTCACGAATTTGTTAGTGAAGAAATTGCTTCACAGTGCAGTGTTACGGACTAATTCTTTGCTTAGTTGTCCTCTACGACCCGCTCTTGGCTCTCTTGTGATTCTTGGTACACACCATTTTACTTTGTTAATTCTTTTATTTGATTAATTTAGTTGATTTCTTTACTTTATTGTTTCAAAAATTTGTTTAACTTTATTGCTTTTGATTATTACTAAACAGGCAATTTAAGGTAAAATTATTTTGGACTCAGATTTAGCTGCAGCTCAAAGATTTTTATAATTTATGAACATATCTAAAGTTGAATCTACGAAACGGTTTCACAGATAAAACTTTTAATTTTGCTATAAACTGCAAATTTAAAAAAATAATTTTGGCCTTTGTTTCTGTTCTGTGTGCAATAAAAAGCTGAAATTAAGAAAGCTAAAATTAGGAATCTAATAAAACAACTTAAAATATATAAAAGTGAACATAACATCTGAAACTTGAACCTTTATTACAAGTTTATTTGGGTAAGTTTAATTACAAAAATGTCAATGTAGCTTGACTTTTTTTGTTTTTGTTTCATATTTAGATGTCCTGAATAATTTAGTTAGAGTTGTTACTGAGAACTGCAGAATGGCCTTTTCTTAAATAGAAAAAAAAACAGTATGGTTAAATTTGTTCAAATTTATTAGAAATAAAATATTAATTATGAAAAATCAAAGAATAAAGTAGGTGATATTCTTTGGTGCTTAATTCAACGATATAACAAATAATTTAAAAATGGACATATATTATTTTTGGAAAATTTTCTTACTCACTCTTATTAGGGCCCTTTTTCCCTTTCCTCCTTTATTAAATTTTACTTGTTATAAACAAAGAAAATGTTCAAAATTTAAAAAATTTTTTCAGTTATTATTATCTTAAGATCTTAACCCACCTTACAATTTGAAAATATAAATGACTTATAGAAATAATATTTGAACTCCCACACACCTGTTTATTAAGACCCTGTTCCTACCCTCATTTATTAGATTTGGACAAAATTCCCATCTATCTTTTTAAACCCACTACACCATGTCTTAAGCACCTAATAGTAACTTGTCAGAAATGAAACTTAAACACTTTTGACCAAGTAAAAAATTAGAATACTAATAAATACTTCTGTCATATTGCAAGATTATTTTCTTTTAAAAGCAATACAAATAATCTATGTTGATACTTAAAACACTACTTGCACCTGCCAACATTTGTTTAAAAAAAGTTATACAATTTGAAACTTGATAAATGGGCATTTTGTTAAATTAGAAGACGATTAAACTGAGGGGAAAATAATACAACACAAAACCATAAAAATCTTCAATTTTACTTAGAATTTGCTGTAACCTTTTAATTAAAAAGTTTGTATTAAAAATATGTTAAAATATAAATATTAAAGAACATTACCACATGAGTAAGGTGGTGGAGCTTTTATTGGCATTTTTCCCCCAGCACCACTTGTAAACCGATACCAATCTGTGCTTAATGGTTGATGACATGTAGAAGAATCTGTTGGAGATATTTTAAATGCAGTACTTCTTTCAAAGTCATCAATTGTTTTGTAATCAAAACAAGGATCATCTAATGAAAAAATTAAATCTAATAAATATTACATGCCCCAAAACTTTTAATTGATATTCTTCTAAATAATAGCATCTTCATGGTTAATCTGAAAATTTTGCATATATATGAATAGAATCAGATAAATAAAAATGCAGAATAACTTTTTTAATAATACTTTAAACTTTATTAGGATAAAAATCAATTTAACAGTTAAAGTTTTAGTATGTCATATACATATTTTTAGTAGCTTGCTATTTATGGTACATATATATATTATGGTACATATATATATATATATATATA